AGTACTCGACCTGCACCTCAAAAAGCCTATAAATACACCTCCTTTCCTTCACTTTTAAGGAAATCAATTCCTTTATACTCTTAAGCTCAGTTTAGAATAGAATTTCTCTATATTTCTTTTAGCATGTTTAGTCTCCAAATGAGGAGCTAAACTTCCATTTCTTGGTATTGCTCTTGAAGCTTGTTGATTATTAAAGTTGTGAGTTATTTTCTTAACTTCTTTTCCTTGAATATTAATTCTTCCTTTAAATACTATTTCTATATCAATGTTGGGGAGTGTTACTAAGATGACAATTAGTTAACATCTTGACATTGGTCTTAGTAATAGCTATTCCTTCCTCTATGTTAATATCGGGGAGTGTTACTAAGATGACAATTAGTTAACAACTTGATATTAACCATAGTAGGATTCATCTTCTTTAATATTCTTCCTTGAATATTAATTAATCCCTATTCATATTTCATATTAATATTTTGAACATTACTTAAAGGATCAACTAGTTTTGTTCCACATATTAATTATTACTAGAAACGATCAACGAACCGATGATTAAACGTTGATAGTTTCACAAGTAAGTAACTTCGGTTTATTAATGCACGGTCGTGGTTAATAAACTTAAGAGGGATTAATTTTGTTGGTTAAACCGAAACCATTGTGTTGAGGTTATCAATCTCAATTGATTTCATCAAGGAGTTAAAAGATTAAATGCTACTATCAAGTCGGTATATGGCGTTGTTCTATACTTGACTAATAGTAAGAGTTATTAATGAACGGTTGTTGTTAATAACTATCCTCGATGAATTGGATATACTCCTCGATTGAGTATTCGAGAGGAGATAAGTTATAGATATAACAATGATTGACTAAAATATATCAACAAGTGGAAAGTAGCAATACCAAGTCCCTTTTATCTTTGAATTAAACCACACAACTCGTTCATCTTCGTGTTTAATTTTAAATCAAATCACTCGATCAAAACCCCCCCCCTTTTATCTACTAGTTACATAAAAAGAAGAGTTATTCCTTTCCCTGTGGATACGAACTCTACTACGCTATACTACGTATTAGTGCTAGTATTGAATTTATTTTGAGGGCACTCACGACAAAGTGCACGTCAACTGCTAACCGTATATGGTCTTTGACTTTCTTGTACTAGAAAATTATTTTTTTGTATTATGTTTAGTTTAGTTTATAAATGCATTTACACATTCATTGCCTATTTATCATGTAGCTATATTGATCTATTATGTCTTTTATGTATGTATTTTGTAGATTGTTGCATGACAATAATATGTTTTTACTGGTTACAACAACATCATCCAAGCCTTGCTTCGAAAAGGTGTTTTTACCGGTTATTACTAGTAATTTTTATTTTTTATATAAGATAAAGTTTTATATTCATAGAAAAAATAAATATTCATTTCAACTATATCACATACTCCCCGTTCCACTAACAACGGGACAAAAGGGAGTGACACACAAATCTATAAAAAGTGGTGTATGTGGTTGGTAATGAATTGATAAATTAACAATAAAGTAAGAATGATTTAGAGTCACACAAACTTTACCAAATAAGGTATGAAACAATCTTAGTGGGACGGACCGAAACGGTAAAATGAGACAATCTTAGCGGGACGGAGGTTGTATATCATATATATTTATGAGCTTTTTCAAACTAGTCACATTAGTGTAAATAAATTAAGATTATACACACTTTTGTTCTAAAAAATTTGGAAAATTATATTTGAAAAAAATATTTAAAGTGTTTTTATTTTTATTAATTTTTATATATTCAATATTTGTGTCATATGAAAGATAATAAAAAGTTATGAGTTTTGATATTTTTTTGTAATGATCAGAGTATAAATAAAAAAGTTATTTCACTTTTAAGTAGAAATGGGATTTTTATTTTTGTGGGGCCCTATCTCAATTTTCTACGTGTGTTACCTAGTTTGGCCTGCTTGGGCATGCGTTACATGATTTCTCATAAGGCGCCACTTTAAGTGGTGACTCTTTTAAGTACGATTTAGGGGAGCAATATTTTGGGAAATATTTTAAGTTAACCTTATTTTGATAAATCTTTTTTAAATTAATTTTGGGAAAAAACTCTAAAACTTGTATCATCATATCACTAAAAATAAGTTCAAATGAAATACTCCTTCAAACTTTGTTACCCAAAACTATGTTGTACAAGTATAAATTAAGCAAGAACTGTGTTATTGTTGTTACTTTAAGGGATGAATTAAGTATGTAGTAGTATTCCAGTGATCGTATCAATTGCCTAGGGAAGGCTTTTGATATTCCCGTAGCAGAGTTTCATTTCTTCCTAGCAGTAATTTCCAAGTTCACAGCTCGAAAGTCGAAACCGACCACCCCCATAAATTCCCTACCCTTCACCCCCATTAAAATTCTTACACTAAATATGAAGAGCAAGAATCACACTATAAAATGCCTTCAAAATCATCACCACTTCTTCTCACTTGTCTCTTTAGTTCACTATATCATCTTCACAGCCTCCAAAATATTTACTTTCTAATAACAAAGAAGCAGAATCAATGGCGATTGTAGTCAAAGAACTTGCCATCGACGCACCCATCGTCTCCTCCTACAACGACCGCATCCGGCCATTGTTGGACTGCGTGGATAAGCTCCGGCACCTGAAAATAGCCCAGGAGGGGATTCAACTCCCGACCATCGTCGTCGTCGGAGACCAGTCCTCCGGCAAGTCCAGCGTTCTTGAATCTCTCGCCGGAATCAGCCTTCCCCGTGGGCAGGGGATTTGCACCAGAGTCCCTCTTATCATGCGCCTTAAGAACGTACCCAACCTCGCCCAGCCGGAGCTCCACCTCGAGTTTAACGGAAAAGTCGTTCAAACCGACGAAACCAGTGTCGCCGACGATATTGTTCTGGCGACTGATGAAATTGCGGGAAGAGGAAAAGGGATTTCACATACACCACTGACGTTGACTGTGAAGAAGCACGGCGTCCCGGATTTAACGATGGTGGATCTTCCCGGGATCACCAGAGTCCCTGTTCACGGCCAGCCGGAAGATATTTACGAGCAAATCTCAAACATTATAATGGAGTATATTTCCCCACAAGAGAGCATTATCTTGAATGTTCTGTCAGCCAGCGTTGACTTCACAACCTGCGAGTCAATCCGTATGTCCCAGAAAGTTGATAAAACAGGGGAGAGGACACTGGCCGTCGTGACGAAAGCTGACCGGGCACCGGAAGGGCTGCTCGAGAAGGTCACCGCCGACGACGTCAATATCGGTCTCGGCTACGTATGCGTCAGAAACAGAATCGGAGAAGAATCGTACGATGATGCAAGAATAGAAGAAGCAAGGCTGTTCCAGACCCACCCTTTGCTGTCTAGAATTGATAAGTCAATTGTTTCTGTTCCAGTCTTGGCGCAGAAGCTGGTCAGGATTCAGGCGACCATAATCTCAAAATGCCTGCCGGAGATCGTTAGGAAGATCAACGACAAGCTGTCAGCGAACATGGCTGATCTCCAAAGCTTGCCGCAAAATCTCTCCTCTGTCGCTGAAGCTTTGACAGCTTTCATGCGGATTATCAGCTCTTCTAAAGAATCTCTGAGAAAGATTCTCATCAGAGGTGAGTTTGAAGAATATCCCGAGGAGAAAGAAATGCACTGTACGGCTAGGATGGTGGAGATGTTGAATGCATACTCCCGGCAGATTCAAGCATACCGTTTTAGCTTCGAAGGGAACACGAATTTCTTGATGGATGATATCATGGCGTTGGAAGAGGCTAAGGAAATCGGGCTGCCGAACTTTCTCCCTCGAGGTGTGTTTCTGAGCATTCTGCAGAAACGGGTGAAGGGTATTTCATCAATGCCGAGGGATTTCATTGATAAGTTCTGGGATTATATTGAAGGGATTGTAGTGAAGGTTCTGATGTATCACTCGGACAACTATCCTCAGCTTCAGGCCTCAATGAGGCGGGCTGCTCAGAATGTGATTGCGAAGAAAAAGGAGAAGTCTTTCGAATGGGTCAAGGAGATCATCGGGATGGAGATGCTTGCAGATTATTCGTGCAACCCGGAGTACACTGCAACTTGGAACAAGCTGATGGAGAAGCAGCAAGAGTTTCTTGATATTCTGAATGACATCTCGAAGGGTTCCAAGATGAGCATAGATGGAGAGGAGGTTGAAATCGGGCATCTCCGATACTACCGGGACAATGTGAAGCAAGCCTTTGACATGAGGATGAGGATTATGGCATACTGGAAGATTGTAATGATGAGGCTGGTGGATTCCATGGCTTTGCACATTCTGTTCAGTGTTCAGAAGCTGGTAAACAAGGACATGGAAGATGAAATCGTTGCTGATCTGATGGCTCCGCATGGAGGAGGCATAGAGAGGATGTTGGAGGAGTCTCCAGTTGTGGCTGAAAAGCGTCAGCGTTTGACAAAGAGTCTTAAGCTGCTGAAGGAATCGAAGGACGTCGTGGCGAATATAATGGATCGGATTATGCTCAATGATGGCCCTATGCATTAGTGAATCATATCCATTTTTATTGATTTGAATAACTCTCTTCTATATGCATGGCATGGCTTTGTCTTTTTTTCTTCTTTTTGGTGGAGCTCAAAATTAAAGAGGTAGTCTTGATGTTTTGTTGATCATGTGGCCGAAGTGATTCAGCTCTATATATGTTTAAGTGCTTTTTGTCTTTCTAAAACGGAGTCTATTAGGCTACAACGTAGTCCAAAGAAGACTTGTTTTCTTTCTTCTTATGAGAGCTTCACCCTCATTTTTTTGCAAGACATGCGAAAAACATGTTGATAAACCCAAGCATATTCAGAAATATTAATACATCTTTTAATAAGATTTTAACTTGTAATATGCAGCCACACAACTCTTAATATTGGACTTAAAGTTTGAGAATTGAAAATCTATGAAGAAGACAATATAATAAGATTAGTAAGGGTAGTGTGTATAGAAATGCTGCGCTTTATAGAAAAGAACCAAAGTGCATATATTGATTATACATTGTTTTATTGCTTATTTAAGTTTGAGTATAGAGTTATTATAGGCAATACAATTGGAATATTGGACTAATGTCCTCAAAGAATTAAACCCAGCCAAATTTTTCTATGAGACTGCTAGATTGAATCATATTGGCAGTCACCCAGTTCACCAGCTAAATCCTTCATAGCCTTCGACTGCTTGGAAATGACACTGGCAGTGGATGGGTTTTGGGGTAAGACAATGGAATACCCATCATCCCATGCATCCATGTCATGTGCCATAAGCTGCCACACCATGCTCCCCGCCATGGTCCCTCCGTCCTTGGCGAGCTCACATGTGTTTTCGTAAACCTTGCTGAGGAAAGAGTTGCGCCCCTCGATGCTGAACCCTCCATCTCGGCTCGACTTGCCGAATTCAGCGAACACCAATGGCTTCTTCAGTACCGTCTTCGCGTCTTCCCAGTGGCTCTTCATCCACTTATCCAAGAACTCCATTTGCTCGTCATCAGTTTCTCCAGACTCCCTAAAAAATCCCAAATTTGTAAGCAAGATTGAGTAAAATCTGAATTTTTAAAATGTTTTAGTTTTACTAATAACAATGAAGTATGTAGTATAATAATGGTCAAACTTGTGCATTGACAAACATAAAAAGTGGAACTGTCAAATGTATAAGTTACATAAATAAAAGGGTTAATACATATATACATTCTGCACGATTTGTTATTACATTCAAATCAGAGAAACTAAATTATACCATTGATCTGTGTATGCATGGATGGTGGCGAAGTCAATTTCATCAACAAGATGGTTGCTTATAAAATCAGTCCCAACTTGATAACCAGGGTTAAACTTCTCTCTTTCAGGCACTGAGTCTCCATAAAAGCCCTCCATTCCTATCTCCAACAAATGATTCTTGTCTAGTGATTTCACATAACTTGCTACCTCTTGAACCCAACCCTGATTTCAATATGTAACCAAGTCATGTGTAAAAAACAAATACTCTGGATGCATGTAATATGTGTGTGTATCACTAAATGTGTATAATAAATGTGTGTGTGATTTGTGTATACATACAAGAAATAGTAGTTCATATAACTTTGTCACTAATTGCATTAATAAATTTTATCACAATTTATATTAAGAAGATTCTTGAGTCATGATCAAGCAGAATAATCCATATACGATAGTATAATGAAAGAGCATTTATCATAAAAACTTATAATAAGTGTTAATCAATAAATGATAAATGACATTAATGTGATACTGACATTTACGGTTTTCCCAGAGTAATCTTCTTGGCAACGAGGTTCGTTCATGAGTTCCCATGCCATGATGGTTGGATCATCCTTATAAGCTACTCCAGTGATCGTATTGATTCTTGTTACAATTTTCTGTAGTATTTCAAATACGAATAATTGTTAAGAGTTATTTTTGAACAAGTACTAGCTCAAATCAGTCTTCAAATTATCTTTTCGTTATCATTCTTTTGCCAAAATAGCATTTGTGTTTTTAGAGAACATCTATCTCATTTACATGTTAAGATATTGTTTCTAGGTGATCAAAAGAGCAAATAAATTAATTACATTTTACATACCTTGATATGGTTCTTGAAGTAGCCGATAAGAACTGGATGTGTGTAAAAGGAGTCTTCACTATCAACTTGTACACCTGAATCTCTTGCCCAGTTTGCATATTGTGCTTTCCCTCCAAAGTCGTACCAATTATTCACAAAGCTCAAAATCAAACGGACCCCATATTTCCTTGCTTCCGAAATCGCAAAATCAAGTCCCTAAAAATTCATATTCACATCATTATGATTGTATAAAATTTTAGAGTGTAGTAAGCAATAAAGTATAAACTGTTGTAACGATATTTTTGTCCCTTAGATATACTCGATGATATTTTAAAAAACATGATATACTTCATCAATTCCTCATCAATTGATCTGTTTGAATTTTACACTCGTCAATGCAAGACCGAATTTGAATATTAATTAATTAATTAATTAATTAATGTATTCAATAGACTATTAATACTATACAAATGATATTAAATAATTTAAAATTTTACATTGAGACGAACATTATTTTTTTCATACTATTATTTGTTAATACATTAATAAATAAAACCATATCAAAATAGAGTATATATGAATAATGTAAAATCAAAATTTTCCCACCAATAAAGAAAGAAGTGAGCGCAATTAAATAATTCATAACAAACAAATTACTGGATTAGTATGGATTTGATGCGAATTGACTGATAAATTCATGTCAAATCATCTATGAATTTTTGCGAATCTGCCGAAAAAATTCTACTAATTTCGTTTTTTTTATAGTGATTTATTTATTTTATGTACTACTTACTACTACCTCCGTCCCAAATTGAGTTGCAAATTTGACTTTTCTTAATCAAACAGTTTCGTTTTGTTCACTTAATTAGGACACCAAATTTTAATTATATTCTAATTTGGAGTTTAGAACTTTGAAAAGATTTTAATTTAGTTTTGAAATATATAAATTTTAATTATTAAAAATTGAATTAACAATCCATAGGGAGAGTTGATTTTTATTATTGTTTGACAAAAACATCTTGACTTTACAAAACAAATTGGGAGAGAAAGAGCATTATTATAAAGAGTGATGATTGAAATAGTTTAATGAGAATACTAACTCGGAAGACATGCTCGTCATAAACGCCCGGAGAAGTTTGCAAGGCGTTGTATTGGCTTCCGTCACTGAAAGCCCAACTTCGGCAAACGGAAAGCCCAACAGCCGAAGCGGCCTCAAGAACTTCCGTCACTTTTGACCGTTGGTCAACGTCACTGGAAACATGCATCAACCAGTAGGAATTGAAACCGTTAAATAGGAACGGCGACCCGTCAAGCTCGAAACGGTCCTTGTTTCTCGTAACCCAGCTATCGGCCTTTTCCGGCGACTCTGGGTAGGTTATAGAGTGGGCAAGCTCCGCCATGGCATGTGACTGGCCGGAAATGACGGCGGCGGTGGAAGGGTTTTCCGGAAGGACGATGGAGTAGCCGTCATCCCATCCGCCCATTCCTTGGGCCATGAGCTGCCACACCATGCAGCCGGCCATTGCGCCGCCGTCTTTGGCGAGGCTGTAAGTTTCTCCGTAAACTTTTGTCAAGAAGGAATCCCGGACGGCGATGTTGAATCCTCCGTTCCGGCTGGACTTGCCGAACTCAGCCATGACCAAGGGTTTATTGAGAATGTTCTTCGCGTCTTGGGAATGGCTGCTCATCCACTTATCTATGAATGCCATTTGATCATCCGCACTTCGCCCAGGAACCCTGTTACAATAAAGTAATGTTATTATAAATATAGAAACGATTCAATATAAGACTAAAACATACGCACAATTCAAAAAAATGTAATACTGCATATGTTTCATTCCCCAAACAGAGCTTAATTAGTCTTATTACAAGAATAAGTTGATTAAAACTTCTCAAATTAGGAATGAATGAATATTACTTTAGCAAGAAAACAATAATAATCTTATTTATGAATTTTATGTTTGTCTTAGTCCTATTCAAGGAATTTTCTCGTTATAAGTACTACGTATTATACAATTAGTTATAGTGTATGTAGGCTTTAATTTATATTGTGAAAAACTATATGGAAAAAATCTTTTATCAATCACTACAAAAAAATACGGATTAACAAAGATTTTTGGCAGAGATTCGAAAAACTCATAGAGGCCGGATTTGATAGAGATATGCCAAATCCGTGACAAAAACATTTTGGCATGGGCTATTTGACACGAAATCGTCGCTAAATCTGTGTCAAATTTGTGTCAATCCCATACTTTTTTGTAGTGAACCTACAATGTTTTCTCATGATTATAGGCTAGGGATCATGATAGTATGAATTAAGATGATATTACTCCCCTTCTATTATGATAAAATAGTTTAGTTCTATTTAAAGAAATCACATATAGTACCATTGATCAGCATATACATGGATGCTGGCAAAGTCAATTTGATGAATGAGATGGTTGCTAATGAAATCAGTCCCAACTTGGTAACCAGGGTTGTATTGCTTCCTTTCCTCTATAGAATCTCCATAAAATCCTTCCATGCCTATTTCTAGGAGATGTTTGTTATCTATTGACTTCACAAAGCTTGCAATTTCTTCAACCCATGCCTGCGTGCATGCAATCAAGATAAATATATCCATGCATGATTATTATATTCTAGCTTGGGGTTACATGGCTTAGTAATTAATACTTCGCAAGGTTATTACTTCTTTTGCATGAGACTTGTGTGTGTGTGTGTAAGATGCAATTTAAATATACTAACATTAACGGTTTTGCCAGAGTAATCGGCTTGGCAACGTGGCTCATTCATTAGCTCCCAAGCCATGATAGTTGGATCATCCTTGTAAGCAACTTCAGTAATGGTATTGATTCTTGTTACAATTTTCTGCAAGAAATGTATAACCAATTCAAACCTATATATGTAATGATGAGTCATAAGCAACTTAACAATACCATGATATCATATTTAACTTGCCTCGATATGGTTTTTGTAATACTCTATAGGGACAGGATGAGTAAAGAAATCATCATCATGATAAACCGGTGCTCCTGCATCCCTAGCCCATTGTGCATATTGTGCTTTGCCTCCAAAGTCATTCCAATTGTTCACAAAGCTCAATATCAAACGAACCCCATAGTTTCTTGCTTCCGAAACCACAAAATCAAGCCCCTACAATATATAATCATGCATGCAGCCATTTAGTAATGATAAAGATTTCTAAATATTACTAAAATAAAATATACTTTCTCAAATATGGACACTATTCTTGCTTTAAAATATTACTCTTATATATGAACTTGCCTCATATTTTGTTCCTCTTCATACCAATATTGTCTTTTTTAAAGAATATATCTGATGCTTTTAAATGGTTACGTTGTAGACTTGTAGCGAATTAGCGATAAAGATTCAGGACCCGAATAGTATAGTAGTGGTAAGCATATGCTTCGTAAATGGTACCACCTCCCTCCTAAAATATTTAGTCATCTTTAAAACTTTGAAAACTATATATTCTTTATTGAAAATTATTTATAGTAAAAAAATGTTATGAAAATGCTATTTGTTAAAAGTATAAAATTTATAATATCCATAATATTATACTCGATCCGTACTAATCAAAATTGCGATCTAAACTTTAAGATATGGCTAAATATTTTGGGACGAAGGTACTATGTGCGTGGAGTTATCATACTACAAACACAAAGGTTTATTTGAGCCAATGAGTTCCATCTTGAGGAGGAATAATTGTAAACCATCATTGCCTCAATCATATACTTATGTATACTTATGTAATAAGTCATCTTTTTAGAATGAAACCTCAAATCTTAAAAAAAGTATGTATAGATGTGAGTGGACCTGAAAAACGCGCTCATCGTAAACACCGGGAGATGTTTGCAGCCCGTTATAACGTTTCCCGTCGCTAAAAGCCCAAGCCCTACACACAGTTAGGCCGATGCTTGCAGCATCCTTGAAAACTTCGGTGACCTGGTGCCTATTGTTGGTGTCACTTGCAACATGCATGAGCCAATAGGAGTCAAACCCATTGAACAGAAATGGCAAGCCATTTAGCTCAAAATGTCCGCCTTTTGTGGTAACCCAGCCTTCAATTTCTGTTATTGGGTTACTAGGTTGAGCAGTTATGATAGAAGTCATAGAACAACAACTATCCTCGGTAAAACAAGCCATTGGGTTGAATAAGATTTGAAGTACGTGTGTTCTATAACAATGCTAAAAATATTACGTTTGGGAGCTTGAAGTGGTGAGGTGATTGGTTGGATTCTAGGGCTTTTATAGCAAGTTATTGAGATGGTGGATGTATGGAAAGTATGTAGTGTTTACTAAAAATAGAATATGAGTCTGTTGTAGTTTTTTGCTTGTGTGTTCACTAAAACTCTTTAAAATACTAGTAGTATCTACGTCTCATTTTATGTGTCCCATTTGACTTTGACACAATTATTAATAATGTTGTTGAGTGAAATGTTTTAGAACACATATTTCTTTCAAAAAAGAAAATTTGACATTTATTTTGGGAAAATCCAAAAAGAAAAGTAAAACAAGTAAAATGAGACGGAGGGAGTAATTATAAGCCAAGTAATTCTTACAATTTTCCATCTTCCCTTTCATTAATTAGAAATTGCTCAATATATGACCAAAAGATATCTAAAGTGCAAAAACAAGACTAAGTATGTTTTATTCGCCAAATAGGACTCCTTTAGTCTTATTAAAAGAATACGTTGAGTAAAATTTCCCAAAATGGGAGTGAATAAGGAGTCGTATTTGAGAACAAAACAAAAATAATCTTAGCTTATTTATGAACTTTATCATTGTTTTAGTACGTCATATTTATTTAGGGGATATTCTCTTCATTAGTATTTCATAAAGATGTCCACTAATTTGATTTTTATTTAATCTTCATTAAGGAGCATGCATTTAGTTTTGAAATACTTGCCTCCAACATGAGTCATATCTGTATTAGCCGTCACTTTTAATTCGAGAGAGAAAATTGTTATCTTTTATATGGAGTATTAGGGTATGTTTGGCACAACTAGTTGAAAAGATACTTTCATAAGCTTTTTACACACTGTTAGATTTTAGTGACTGGAAGGATCTTAAAAGAAAATGTAATACTTCATAGTTGTTTGATACAAAGTCGACTGTTTGATTTAACTTTGTTTGATATATAAGTTGTTGGGCCTAATTAATGGTAGAAGCTATAGACTTATCTGAGATGCTATTCACTCTAGCATCTCAAAAAAAAGATCTTATATTCTTATAAAAGCTCTTAAAAATTGGAATGTTAAACATACAATTAGAAGCTTTTAATTTAAAGATTTTTTAAATAATACAAAAGCTGGAAGGCAGAGACTTATTCCCATCAAATATAGGCTATGTTTGACGGGCATAAGTCCCTGACTTCTAGCTTTTGTACTGTTCAAAAAGTTCTTAAAAGCTTCTAGTTGTGTGTTTGGCATGAAAATATTTAAGAGCTTTTCAAAAATTAAAAGATCTTTTTTGAGATGCTACTGGGAGTAGCATCTAAGAAAAGCTAGTGACTTTTAGTATTAATTAATCCTAACAGCTTGTATACCAAACTGAACTAAATCAAACAGTCAGCTTTTTATCAAACAGCTACCACCTTTTCTTTTTAAGATCTTTTCAGTCACTAAAAGCTAACAGTTATTAAAAAGCTCACAAAAGTATCTTTTCAGCTAGTTGTGCCAAACATGCCCATAGCCTTATGTTAGGAGTAGACTTTCCAAATGATTAACGCAAGAAATTGTTTTCAACCATGAGCCCAATATAGTCCATTATTTGGTAAGAGAGCTGGCACTTGGCAGTTAGAATTGGATGATGGTTCTATCCAAATGAATCAAATGATGCCATCCATATCGATCCGTTGCCGTAGATATGGGCATCTTCGCACCTAGTGGACATCCGCTAGCCCATTTAGTTCCTTATCCCACGGAACCCTTCAACCGTTTTATTGAAACGGATTACATGAAAGTTGCAAAGTTAGCTCCTTGACTCATTTTAACAAAATGCATGAAATGAAAATAAACAAAAAAAAACAAGAGCATTGCATTTCTCTTAGAGCATCTCCAATGCTCTTCTTTTGACCGAGTAGAATTTTGATACATCATAGTATCATACAATTTTGAAAGTGTGGATGAAATTTTATCTCCAATGCACTCTTTTGTTAGCCTTGTTAAGTTGACGTGGAATCAATCCTTTTAACTTGCTGAGTCATTAAAATTGATCAAATCTTCCCTAATTCCAAGCTAAACGTGAAGAAACCGTCCACCCTAGGTTCCTTTTCTATTCTAATTCTTTTGGAATTAATTAAATGACAGCAAGATAATATATTGGCACATTAACATTAGTGGAGGTCTCCTTTTACTTTCTTCCCATTTATATTTGATGTGGATAGAAAGGATCCTATTTACGTATTATTTGACATTTGACAAAATTTAAGAAATGTGAACAGAAGAGCATTGGAGATGTTCTACCATCCCACTTTTGGAAGTTGTAGTTACAACCAGCTTGGGGACGTGAGATGTGCAGATGGCACATATAATGGGAAAAGAAAGGTCTTTGATAACTTAGTTGGGCATGCGGCTTACTCCAATCCTAGAATTCTGATCCCCATCAAGGAGGGCTGCGGCAAGAGAAAGTGCCGAAGAGGTTGTGGCGTTGGATATATATACAAGAATATATTAGTTTTACAAAAGAAAACGCATTTATGTATTGTCAAAAGGGAATCCACAATTTATTGCGATTAGGCACGAGGAAACTACATTCATTCAGAACAATCAAACAATCTAGAAAGGCTAGAATTGGACTAATACGGGTATAATTGTAAAAATATCATTAAAAAGAAACTTAATCAACACATTGACGAGCACTTTGTCGTAGTGTGTCTCAAATTAAATTCACTACTAAGGGCTAATACCGTAGTATAGCGTAGTAGAGTTCGTATCCACAGGGAAAGGAGCTTTTCGCATATGTGTAATCGTAATAAATAAAAGTAAAAGGAAGGGGGAATTGGATATTTTGATAATTGAGAAAGCAAATATCATGTTTTTGCTTGCATATCAAAATATCTTAATATCTTCTAATTCTACTTTAATTTTAGAAGATAAAGATTACACCGTAATTGTACAAAAGCTAAGTAAACATAATGTAAAACCATTCTAAAATGTGGTGTTTATGCACTACTAAATAGTACACATCACACATCCACAATTATAATACAGTTAACAATTTATTAAATAAGAATAGTAGTGAATAAACTCCGCAATAGAGAGTAATAGACTTACACAAAAATTAACGAATTATAAAATTCATTAAGAATGAATAAATTCCACTGTAAGCTTACACAAAAAATTAACTATTTTATCAAAGGAAATAATAATAAATAAGCTATTTAAATACACAATAAATTTAAAAACTTACACAAAATCGAAAAGAGTCGGGTGGCGAGAGTAACGTTCCTGTCAGGCCAGTTTGACAGGATCCACCTTTCGACCCCCTGCACTTGAGGTGCTTCCAAATTGATTTTTTGATGGGGTTTTTTAAGCATGTTTTTCATAAAGTTTACATTATGTCCACCAAATTTCACCTAAAAATTTAACCGAGAGATCAGTTAAATAAATTATTGAAAAATATTGAGACAAAAAAATGACTTTCCAATTGAATTTTCATGTGAAATTTGGTGGACATAATTTATACTTCACCTCAATCGAATGGAGGCTGCCAGACGACAATTCCGGTCAGGCCGGCCTGCCAGGAACACATATACTCGGTATATAAATACAAAAAAATAGGGAAAACTGTCAAATAGGTCCTCCAACTTTCATAACAAGGTCAATTAAGTCTTTCTATAGGAGGTTCTGTCCGGCCATCGCGATTTGGGGCAGTTCTCGGTGGAATTTTTTCATGAAATGTTTTGAGCATATTATTCACCAAGTCTAGTTTACTCATACCAAATTTCAGCTAAAAATTCAATCGGGAACACATTCAAATTAATTCTTGAATATAACTGTGCATTTTTGCGTTCTCGAATTAATTTGAATGCGCTACCGATTAAATTTTTAACTGAAGTTTGGTATGAGTAAACTAGACTTGATGAATAAGATGCTCCAAAAATTTCATCCAAAAATTCCACCGGAAACCG